TCCATTGGGGTTCTTGAAGGTCTTCTAAGTGAATTTCATGCTTCAAGAGGTAGGGTTCCTTTCTACTTTAGTATATTTTACAACCTATGGTGTTTTTATGAAATGAGTAGGTTGATAGATATATATATTACTTACCTATGCTTGTGAAATGGATGAAATGGGTATAGAAATGGTTTAAAATAAATTCCTACCTTGGAATTGGAATGTGGTAATTACTTGTGTGATTACATGGAAATCGGTGTTATGTGGACATGCTATGTGTTTACATTATGCCTTTGCAAATGAAATGTGTTTTCGGCATATATGAATTAATAACATGCTTGTGATGTATTGTTAGATATGAAGAATGTTGATGTATGCTTATAGATATATCGACATTGTGATGAAATTGGTAATTATATGCTTTGGATATGAATTGTCATGGAATATATAATTGTGGTAAAATTTGCTCATATGACATTCATTACATATGGGGCATGACATCGATATAGTGATGGTGTATTACATTGCATTTGCACGGAGGCATCGCATCCGTGGGCATGAGACATGGGTGTGGGTATGGGTGTGCATGGTTTGATCAAGCACCATACCTGATGGTTGATGAGTAGGCTAGGGAAAGTTGGATTGAAAGTCTGACTGACTCGCACGGTTGCATGAAAATTGGGTCGGGGTTAGCAAGAAGGGCTAGACAATCCCTCGGGTGAGAGACCCCGTGATCAGATACGCACTCCATTGGTATAAGAGCCCATAAAGTGTGTCGGTGTACGCAAAACCATTAGTGAAAGTTCATGAATTCCGTGTTGGTTGGGTGCCGTTGGTGTAATTTCATAAATACCCACCTCAAGAAAAACTCAGAGATTTTTAAATAGTCATTAGGTGTATAATGCCAATGGCGGGGGCTTGGAAAACCCGATTTTATACTCATGGCATTGCATGGGAGAAAAGGAGCCAGGGAGGGCTCGGGTTGAGTTGCATGAGTGGGTATCACCTCATATCATGGCATAACATGTTAGATTCCAACTTAGACTTGCTTAATCTTGGTTGGAATGGTTGTTGCTTGTTATGTGTTGCATGTGAGCATTTCATATGCATCTAGATTGGGGAGTAGCCTCTGTAGGAAATACTTTACTGGGCGTGACTCAGCCTATACGGAAAAATATTTCAGGTGTGGGATATGGTCCGGTGGAAGGCCCTCGCATGGGACCTCAAGGATGAAGAAAACCAAAATGTGGCTTTATTTTGAGTTTTTGTAAATGATTATGAAAACTTGTATTTGATATGTAAATTCATGAACTTGAATGTAATAGAGTTGGTATGGATCTTGTGTAATATAAAAATCTTCATATACATGTGTTGGATGGAGTTAATATGTTTTGAAATGGATTAGAAATAAAAAACAGGTCAAATAGGCAAATATGGGCAATACCTACCGGTAGGACCTAACGGTAGATCGTTGTCCAATGGACAACGCCTACCGATAGAACCTACCGGTAGGATCGTGTATAGGCAGAATTTTGTGTATCAGGCAAAACCAACCGGTAGGACTTTTCTTGTAGGCAAAACCTACTGGTAGGTCCTCTAAATATTTTGAAAACTTTAAAACTACTCTGCCATACTTTTGGACTTTGGGTTCTTTGGTTCCAAGGATATAAATGGACATAAAATAAAGATAAAGTGTATTATAATGGACCTTGATTGGTCAAATGGTAAAATGTACACGGGTTACACGTGTGGGTGATAATCCTGGTTAAGAGGATGTTATTGACGTGATGTCGAGTTGTGCGACAATCACATGTATTTCTGTGGATTGACGAATGATTAACGGTTGAAAAAGGGACCCCCGATTTTAACAAACACATACTACATGCATGTTGTGTGCTCCCATAACAATAAAAGTATGACAATCATGTTTCGCTAATGCAAAATCAATCATGTTTCGCTACTGCAAAATCCGTTCTGATTGAAAAGCAGTACCTTTCCTCCAGGCATAATTTTGGTGAGCCTTCTTGACTCCTCTATAATTGGCAGCACGGAAAAATCAGGTTGAGGCTTGCTTCCCTTCTCATAAAGGTAGTATCCCTTCCCATTATTTTTACTTGCGAAATTAGCATGTGTCATATGTTAGACACCTGATGCAGACAACAATGAAACAGATCAAAAATTAATCCATCATTACCATTTCAACCATTTTTTATAAGAAGGTCAACCAAGGCAGATTGGAATGTCCGATTAGGAAAGGCAATAACAAATTGTTTCCCTACTGCGATAGCTACTCCATATCTAGCTAAATCCTGAAGCCTGCAAACATATTCAACTGAATCAGATCTCAGTGGTAAAGTAGTCGATTATTGACTGACTGGTCATAGGTTCAAATTTTACTTGGAGAGAATTTATGTTTGGCGTATTTTTGGATTGTAGGCGAGCCAAAGTCCAAATGAACTTAAAATTCAAACATGTAAGACCTTACTTACTTGAACTCCCGCGAGGTTCTAAAATTGTGATTGTTCAGGTGAGTATAGCGAGACGTAAGGTTATCTATGAAATATTTTATATGCCTTATGGTTCAAGGACTTTAATCATTTTGTCAAATAAAAGCGTAATGGACTACACCGTAAAGAGAATAATGATAATGAAAAGCAACAAGTAAATTGAATATGAATTTGGAAGAAGAAATGAATTTTATTCTTAACATTAAAGGAAAACAATAAAATATCACTGGAGTGATGATTACAAGAAAAGTAAAATTGCTTGGGAGCAAGAAATAAACATAAGGTAGGTTGGCTGTGTGTAGAGTTTGTGTGTTTGATTGTGGATCCTTTCTCAGTGGCCTAGCCTCTGCTATTTATAGAGATGACCTTCAACTATCGACTCATCTTTTTCGACCATTTCTGTGATCATGGCTCTGTCCCTTGTGATGCGTGGACTTGTGCTAAAATAACCCAATTGATGACTTATGATGTCATATTTTCTCATTTTCTGGGCCTCTAAAAGTTCTATTTATATAACTGTTTTGTCAATTGTGGACTCTCACAAACTTCTTTATGATTGTCAGATGCCTCCTACGTGTCACCCTTTGATCTCGCTATTTTTGGGTGTAAACACATCCATTGAACCTTGTAAATTCACATCCATTGTATGATTTTTTTGTTTTAGTTCTTGCTGTGCATTAGTCTCTCTCTCTCCCTCCTTTATCTAGTTCATCTCATTTTTTTCTCCCTCCTCTCTCCTCATTCAATTTCTGTCCCTATTTATTTCATCCCACTCATTCTCTCTCCTCTCTCTTTTGAATTGTGTATTTTAAGTGCAACCCGTATGTAAAAAGGGCTTGTACATCTTTTTACTTTTGATTGTCCTTAATGTCCCATAAGTTCACTTTTTGTCATTATTGACCCAAAACTCTTTCATAGTACACCAGCCACCAAAAATTTTATTATTATTTTGAAAAATTTGGGGGCCAGTCCACCTTTTTAGACTTGTTGACAAAACGTCCATTTAGAAACTTTGTTTGGGTTTAAGTTCATTTCGATCTCTGTTATTCAAAATACCCCCAAAAGTTACAACTTACTAAAATAGATTTGAAAACTAAAAACTCCTAAAGTTTAGAGTTTGTCTCACATTAAAACTCTTTCTATCTCTTTTCTCTCTCTCTCTTGCATATATATATATATACACACACACACATATACAAACGTGACCAAATTTAAAACTAAAATAAATTCAAAATTCCTTACTAGTTTTTAAGCTAGAAACCCGACAAAAACTTGACGCATTGAGCATTAAATGGTGTTACTTTGCTCAAATAGGATCCGATCCGATACATAACTCCTATATTTTCAAAACACATTTATAATTTAGAAAAAAAAATTCACGAAATGCCTGAGATTCATTCATGAATATTCCTAATTCCAATTTCATAATACTAATTAACTTAAGTCTATAAATATACCAAGGGTTCTTGGGTATCTAGGTCATTACCTATGTCCTAAGCATTAAAGGTGCATTGGAGATCTCTTGATTTGGCTTTGTAGCTTGGACTTCATCCTTCCTAGTTGCTTTTGGAACTTGATCTTTGAAGCATCTTGACCATGGAATTAGGTTAAGATTTGCATCAAGACTTCATAAAATTAGCCAATTACAATCAATTTACTAACAATATTCCCTTTGGCTATTTTGTGACAAAATTCAAGAGAAAGAAATTTAATGTCACAACTCGAACACTACAAAGAACAAAATAAATTGTTAAGATTATCAACTCTCATTGTACAAGCCTCACAATCTCAAAAACTAGGTACAAAACCATCTTCAGATGAATGCTTTGAAGATAATAGTCCTACACACAATAGATTAACCAATACCTCATGAAAAAATCATATATCTAAATGACATAATATAATCACATGAATGGAAATCATCAAGAGAAGCATAGGGCGTGTTCATATTAGCATCATGCAAGTGTAATACATGCAACATATATAAGAAATGCTAGCCCAAAATGCTAACAACCCTATAAATTTAGCAAAGATGGTGCAAAATATACTTCCCCCTTACTTAGTGTTCACATAAGGAAATAACAAGTGTAAAATAGCAAAGAAAATAAAGGGATTTAATGCCAAGTTTGTAAATGTACTCCCTTGAGTATTTCAACAAACTCTACTTTATTTTGTTCCCATGCAACTAATCCATAGCGTGTCATAAAGTTCAGTCAATTAATCCCAAAAGTTCTCCCCTTTTTGTCACAAAGTGTCAAGTACATGACAATAACAAGATAAGTAGAGAAACATGGTATAAAAGAGAGAGCCAAACATAGAATCTAGCATTAAAAGGATAAGCAAGGTGGAATAAGTAAAGAACAAACATGGCATATAACCTCAAGTCCAAAGGAAATATCCAAACATAAATTATAGAGGCTCAAAGTTTGTCACATGACAAGACAAAAACAGAACAAAATAAAATTAGAATACAACACTCAAAAACTCCTATAAGGTCATATACTAAGTCTCCTAACTCAAAACACCTCCAATTGTTGTATCATTTGTTTCACCATCTTCTCTTGCCCCACCATGCTTGGGTTGCATCACATCTAGCCCATCACCATCATTAGAATCTGGATCACATTCCTTCTTCTTGCCCTTAAGCATCCTTCTGAATGTGCCCAACTCTACATCCAATAGACCCTAAATCAGACTTCTAGGCAGTATCAAGGCTTGCAATCCTGTTATCCATGGCATCTAACCTCAATGAAGTGAGGCAGTGATGTTCCTCTACTCACTTCTCTCCTAGTAAGCATGTCAATACAGATGCTAACTGGAAAAACTAGGATATTTGAATGAGACTCAGATGATGGTGGTGCACTAGAAGTACTAGCTTGTGGGGATACTAGTGGTGGTGGTTCACTAGGTCTAGTCTTATAATGTGGAATCTCCATCTCATCCTCTCTCTTTCTCTCATCCTCTCTCATGCTCAACCACAACATACTTAGCTTGAGCCTTCCTCAACTTTAGAGAACTCTTGTTTAGAGGCCTCTTAGGTTTCTGCATCCTATCCTTAGGCAAGGTAACTGCACTCTTGGCCTTGTAGATTCGAGTAATCAAAATCACAAAAAAAAAAAAAAAAGCCATTAGATACTTTATCCTCCTCAAAAGCTTGCCAAATAACCCCAAGAATCAACAAAGGAACATCAAGATCTAAACCTATCCCAATTGCATGTAACATTTATGATCCCTAGTAAGTAAAATCTAAAATATAGGATTTCGAGTCAGTGTTGTAGTTGGCAATGAGATTCAAAATTATCTTGGGCCAACCACATATGATATAAATTTTGTTCAACCCAATTGGTAGGATAAGGAATATCATACAACTTGCTAGCCACAACAAAGATTTTTGGTAATTCATCGGCTAGTCTGAATCCAAGGGTATCATTCTCTACCCAAGACAAGCTAAGAATGGTAGTTATGAGAGTCACCTAAAAGCTAAACTCAATCCCCCGAAGGTAGGTGAAAAAGTGATTAGCTTGGGGATCATACTCTCAGATCTGAGTATAGAACTCTCTAACAATGTCCTCATTCTCAGGCTTAGGAGCCAGAAAGAGTTGGGTCCACCCTTGATTGGCAAAGTTCACATGGAGTGATGATCTTACCCTCATTGATGTTAACACCATGCTCAATCAAGATTGTCTTGTGAATATACTCATCCATGTACCTTACTGCGTACTCAAGAGTTTAGAATTGAGTGCTCTCATCAAATACAACTTTAACTTTCTCTTATTTTCCTCTATCTTAGCCCTCTTCTCTCATTGTGCAACCATTTCCTTAACCAAATAGTGTATCTAGGTCAAAGTGTATTGAACTTATGATTTTGAATATGAATTGACACTAGAAGTATAGTATAACATGTTTAGGAATGAAGGAATGTGATAGGTTAGGGTTTTAGGATCCTGGGATTGCGACTTATAGTGTTTGGAATATGAAGGGGTCATCTGATTTTGTGTTTAAAGACCTACAAATGATTGTAGGGGTTGCTCTAGCGGTTTCTGAGGCTTTGTTGTCCAACTGACAATTTAGTTTCCAACACTCTCTGAACCATTCCATTTCCTTAAATACTTCTCCAATCAACCCTTTCAGCCTCCAAATCACGCATGAATTTATGTATACAATAAAATGCAACAAAACGCATACGGGATGGATTTTAGGGAAAAAAATGAAATCAAATTTTCAAATTTAACACTAAATGCACAAGCTCATTAATAAAGAAAAGCACACAAGTTCAAAAAACAGCAGATCCATCCTTATTTCATTATCTACAGATATTACTCTAAGACATATTAATGAATTGAGAACTCAATTTTTATGCATCATAGAGTAATTTCCTCCCACTTAGTCCAATTTCGCTCACATGTGTTCAGACTTTTCATCTTTGATAAATTCTTGTGTAAAGTGTATGAAATTAAACTCCGATACTATTAGGAATCTATTTAGGTCAAATCATTAATAAAGGTCTACATGAATTTATAATGCATCATCTAAATAAATATATAACTGATTCAAAAAAAATTCTTATCTTTTCAGACACTCTCTCTATTCTTTACATCCCTTCTATTCTTAATGGCATCAATTAGATCGATTGTGAATTCTGTACTATACAAATTATGCTTCTAAACATGTGTAGCTTAGCTCTTTGAGCTTTACAAGTGAGCATGAACAAATAAGCATATAGTATTCTCAATAATTAAATGCAATTGACACTTACCATTCTTGTTATGCCTCAACTTTTTGTTTGGCCACATTAGATTCTTTTCTCGCATTTGGCTCTTTGGAATCTTTTAAGGGATTTGGGGTTTTACTAACTTTTAGCTATGTGTTCACCTATCACTAACACTTAGAGTCATGTAAGACCAACAATCATTCAAACTAGTAAGACTCCTAAGTATGAAGGTGAATAGTTGGGCATACATTTGGTTATATCAATTTTCACAGTGGATACACTATCCAATCACATTAGGATGAAAGAGAATTGGTTCAAGGATCATCCATTAAAACTTAGAACCACTAAGTTCTCTATCCTTTAATATGGCTCATAGCAATGTACTTACTTTGATTTAAAGATGAATACACAACAAATCAAACCAAAGTGTGATTAGCATGATTAACAATAGAAAAGCAACAAAAGAAAATATTTTTGAATTTTTATTTTTTCAAATCTTTTTGGATTTTTTAAAAATACTTAAAAATAGAAAATATGAACAACTATGCAAAACGAAAGAAAATTAAAGCAATTACCAATAAATCCTAAAAAGATGTCCACCCAGACATCAAAAATCTTTTTATTTTCAATTTTTTTTTGTTTTCATGTAACACAAACAAAGTAAATAGACAAAGGAAAATATTTACAATGCATGAAAAGCCCATTCTAATTATTTTCAGCACAACCCAAGTTGTTAATAGTCCTAATTTGATTAGAAGTAGGACTATGGAAGCCCCTTATGGGATAAATCTAGTCGGGTGCAAGAAGAATAAAATCTGATTCAAACTAGTAACAACCTAATCCTTATCTAAAGGATTAACACTGAATCCCAGTGCAACTTTGACACATAACTCATATAAATATAGCTCTAGTATATGCCCCAAGTACACCACTTCTAGCTTATAAAATGCATTTAATACATTGAGTCTCTTAATGAGTTTGGCATTAGAGGGTTGACCTCCGGAGCTTCCCTTATAGTCTTCGAATTCTTTTTCAGGTGATCAAGGTCAAGCGGGATTAAGTGGAGATTGCCTCAGATTTTGCTTCAAAACAATATTTTTCCCAATAATCTTCTCATGTGACAATTCCTTGAAAAAAAAAATGCAAGAGTAAAAAGTTTAAAGATTACAACTCAAAAGCCACAACAAAAATGAATCATAACCTAAACCTATAAACTCTAGTACAATGTCACTCTCTCAATCTAATGACAAGACTAATCTTCATGAATATGAACTTGAAAGAACTAATTCCTACAAAACAAACACTAAATACAAAACTTCATGAAACACATAGAGTGTTTCAAATATAAATCATGGTCATAAGTAAGTGTTAGTAAATCAAAGCACTAAGAGCAAAAACTACATGTACATACGCAACTTGCACACAAGCAATCGCACAAACATGTTTTAACTCATGAAATGTTTACTTATGCTAAAAAACAAAACGAATATGCTGATCAAAATATAAACGGTTCTTAAAATTTGTTAGTGCTCTCAACAAAGAAAAAATAACAAATTGTTAGTACTCTCAAGAAAGAAAAAGTACAAACAAAAGAATCAACAGTGACGCCCATAAACCCGGGGGTCTCGTTGATCATCCGTCAACCCGTGAAAATACCTGTGAATGTTGCGTGGCTCGACATCACGTCAATAATTCCCCCATTTACCAGGATTTTAACCCACACGTGTAACCCGTGTTCCTTTAATCATTTAATTCAACGGAGGTCCAACATACCTCAATACACCTCATTTAATGTCCATTTGTATCATTGGAACTAAAGAAAACCAAAGCTCAAAAGGTTGACAAAGAAATTTTAAAATTTCAGTTTTTTGGAACAGCTACCGGTAGTTGTTTCCTACTGGACAAGTACTACCAGCTAGCTATCGGTAGTTGTTACCTGCTGTAGAGGTACTACCTGTTGGCTACCGGTAGTTATCGCCTGCTATTGGTAGGTTTTGTCCATAATTTCATTTTTTCATCAATTTTTCATTTCCAATCCAATCAAAACCTTTACAAATCCATCCCAACCATATATAAAGATATTTTTTCCACATTGTACATGATCCATACAAGTTCTATTACATGTGATTCATATTTTTACATGCCAAAATACAGTTTTGACAAAAGTTTACACAAAATATACTACAAAAACCACAAGTCGGCTTTTCTTCATCGTTGAGGCCCTGAATGTGAGTCCTTCACCGGTACAAAACCTACACCTTAAATGTATTCCCGTATAAGGTGAGCCACGCTCAGTAGAACATTTCGTACAAAGGCTACTCCCCACTTAAATGCATATGCAATGGTCTCATGCAACAATACACAACCAATATCCATTCCAATGCAAGAATATGCAATTCATGTTGGAATCTATCATGTCATGCCTTGAATGAGATGATACCCGAAGGATAGTCTAGCACTTCTTACTACCCCGACCCATATTTTCCTTTCATGCAACATGCGACTCAGTCGGATTTTTAATCCAACTTTTTCGAGCCCACCATCAAGCACCAAGTGTGGTGTTGATTAAACCATGCACCCACACACACCCACACTCATGCTTATGGAAGTGTTTTTCCCGTGCATATGCAATGAAGTGCACCATTGCATTATCAATATCATGCTCATATGTAATGAATGTCACATGGACCCATTTCTACAACATACGTCATGACAATTTATATCCTAAGCATATAATTACCAAAATCCATCACAATTTATAAGCATGTTACCACAATATCCATGTCATAACATATTCAATTTTCATTTAGGCATTTAGTCCAATACCTCCCAAAACACAAATCATGTTATTACACATTCTATGCAAATAACACCCATCACAAGCATATGATTTCAACACATCATAATACCAAAACATGTTATTCCCATTTTTATCAAATAACAACTTCAACATTCAAGGCACTTTATATACGAA